GCCAGAGGGGAAGGAGTTAGCTCAAACAGGAAGCTTAAATACACGCCACTGTGTTTCAGTGTAAAAGTCAAATACGTGTTTCCTCAAATAAGAGGAAATGACAGAAGTGCAGCCTAGTGAACAGTTTTTACTAAATCAAGACGGAATTTGTGAAGGATTTTTAGAGACAGTTCAGATCCTTGTAATAAACTACTATTAACCCCAGCTGTTTAAATATCCTCAGTATGGAGAAACAGAGATTAGTTCTGACCGGATGGAGCCCAGAAAAGGGGTAAGGCCATGCATGACTCTGCTTTATCAACTGTGGTCAATGTGGCCTTGAATTCTCCAGAAGCTGTCAATCACTCACTGATTCAAACCAGATGTGTTGGTGCAGGAGAACGTAAGTCACACAGGCAGTGGCCCTTGAGGACCAGGAGGTTATTGCTTTAACTTGCATGCAAAGAACAGAACGATAGTTGCAGTAATGAGCAATTCCACTAAATTCAAATACCTGCTTCCTGTCTCTGGTACACCCGTGCAGTTACGTACGCCACTCCCTTGTCCTCTTGCTAAACACACTTACACACAGGTTAAAAATCAAAACTAACAGCTGGAGTCTGAGCGATTCAAATTAAAGTGTGCCAACTTAACCACAGGCGTGATACTTCCTTTCTACTTGTGGTTTCCTGTGTAAACTGAGAATAATCTCTTCTATCCATCCATCAATCCATTTTCATCCCCTTATCCGGAGTCGGGTCGCGGGGGCAGTAGCCTAAGGCGAGAGGCCCAGACTTCCCTCTCCCCAGCCACTTGGGCCAGCTCCTCGGGGGGAATCCCAAGGCGTTCCCTGGCCAGGTGAGAGGCATAGTCCCTCCACCGTGTCCTGGGTCTACCTTTAGGTCTCCTCCGGGTTGGACGTGCCCGGAAAACCTCACCAGGGAGGCATCCAGGAAGCATCCTGACCAGATGCCCGAGCCACCTCAACTGGCTCCTCTCGATGTGGAGAAGCAGCGGGTCTACTCCGAGCCCCTCTCGGATGACCGAGCTTCTCACCCTATCTCTAAGGGAGAGTCCAGCCACTCTTCGCAGAAAACTCATTTCAACCGCTTGTATCCGCGATCTCGTTCTTTTGGTCACTACCCAAAGCTCATGACCATAGGTGAGGGTAGGAACGTAGATCGACCGGTAAATCGAGAGCTTCGCCTTCTGACTCAGCTCTTTCTTATGTTTATGTTTATTTATTTAGCAGACGCTTTTATCCAAAGCGACTTACAATTTATAACCTATAGGGCATGTTGTGATCTCACCACGACAGACCGGTACAACGCCCGCATCACTGCAGATGCAGCACCAATCCACCTATCGATCTCATGCTCCAGTTTTCCCTCACTCGTGAACAAGACCCCGAGATACTTAAACTCCTCCACTTGGGGCAGGACCTCATCCCTGACCCGGAGAAGGCATTCTACCCTTTTCCAAATCAAGACCATGGTCTCAGATTTAGAGGAGCTGATTCTCATCCCAGCTGCTTCACACTCGGCTGCGAACCGCTCCAGCGAAAGCTGGAGATCACGCTCTGATGAAGCCAACAGGACCACATCATCTGCAAAAAGCAGAGACCTGATCCTCAGGCCACCAAAACGGATGCCCTCCACACCTTAGCTGCACCTAGAAATCCTGTTCATAAAGGTTATGAACAGAATCGGTGACAAAGGGCAGCCTTGGCGGAGTCCAACTCTCACTGGGAATGAGCTTGACTTACTGCCGGCAATGCGGACCAAGCTCTGACGCTGGTCATACAGGGACCTAACAGCCCGTATCAGAGGGCCTGACACCCCATACTCCCAGAGTACCCCCCACAGGGCCCCCCGAGGGACGCGGTCAAACACCTTCTCTAAATCCACAAAACACATGTAGACTGGTTGGGCAATTTCCCACACACCCTCCAGGATCTCCCAAAGGGTATAGAGCTGGTCCAGTGTTCCACGGCCAGGACGAAAACCACATTGCTCCTCCTGAATCTGAGGTTCAACAATCCGATGGACCCTCCTCTCCAGAACCCCTGAATAGACCTTACCAGGAAGGCTCAGGAGTGTGATCCCCCTGTAGTTGGAACACACCCTGCGGTCCCCCTTTTTAAATAAGGGGACCACCACCCCGGTCTGCCAGTCCAGTGGGACTGCCCCCCCGATGTCCACGTGATATTGCAGAGCCGCGTCAGCCAACACAGCCCCACAACATCCAGAGCCTTAAGGAACTCCGGGCAGATCTCATCCACCCCTGGAGCCTTGCCACAGAGGAGCTTTTTAACCACCTCAGTGACCTCAGCACCAGAGATTTGAGAGGCCAACTCAAAGTCCCCAGACTCCGCTTCCTCACTGGAAGACGTGTCGGTGGGATTGAGGAGGTCTTCAAAGTATTCTGCCCACCGATCCACAACGTCCTGAGTAGAGGTCAGCAGCACACCGTACCCACTATAGATAGTGTTGGTAGCGCACTGCTTTCCCCTCCTGAGGCGCCGGATGGTGGACCAGAATCTCCTCGAAGTCGTACGGAAGTCTTGCTCCATGGTCTCACCAAACTCCTCCCATGCCCGGGTTTTTGCCTCGGCAACCACCTGAGCTGCGTTCCGCTTGGACTGCCGGTACCCGTCAGCTGCCTCTGGAGTCCCACAGGCTAGAAAGACCTGATAGGACTCTTTCTTCAGCTTGACAGCATCCCTAACCGCCGATGTCCACCAGCGGGTTCGGGGGTTGCCACCACGACAGGCACCGACGATCCTGTGACCACAGCTCCGATCGGCCGCCTCAACAATGGAGGCATGGAACAGGGTCCATTCAGACTCAATGTCCCCCGCCTCCCCCAGAAACTTTTTGGAAGTTCTGTCGGAGGTGGGAATTGAAGCTCCTTCTGACAGGAGACTCTGCCAGACATTCCCAGCAGACCCTCGCGATACGCTTGGGCCTGCCTGGTCTGACCGGCATCCTCCCCCACCATCTGAGCCAACTCACCACCAGGCAGTGGTCAGTTGACAGCTCCGCCCCTGTTTTCACCCGAGTGTCCAAGACATGCGGCCGCAGGTCAGATAAAACAACAACAAAGTTGATCATCGAGCTGCGGCCTAAGGTATCCTGGTGCAAGAGCACATATGGACACCTTTATGTCTGAACATGGTGTTTATTATGGACAATCTATGACGAGCACAGAAGTCCAATAACAAAACACCACTCGAATTCAGATCAGGGGGGCCGTCCCTCCCAACCACACCTCTGCAGGTCTCACTGTCGTTGCCCACGTGAGCGTTAAAGTCCCCCAGCAGAACGAGGGAGTCACCGGAAGGAGCGCTTTCCAGCACCTCCTCTAAGGTCTCCAAAAAGGGGTGGGTAGTCTGAACTGTCGTTTGGTGCATAAGCACAGACCACAGTCAGGACCCATCCCCCCACATGTAGGCAGAGGGAGGCTACCCTCTTTTGCACCATAATATATTGAAAGAGGTGTCATTTGATGAAACGATATAAGCCGGTCTGCCAAAACATCCATTCAGAGGAGCGACCTTGTTGAATTTTTGGAGCCAGAGTCTGTAGACATATGGGACTGAAGGCGTGCCTACTCTCCTGCAGCTGGTTCATAATATGAAGCCCTTATACACAAACAAAATGTGATTATTGAGAATCTGAAGGAGAACTGGCTGTACTGGTGTCATATCTACGCTATCCTGTCATCAATGCCATAATAGTGTGGCCTGATCTGTGGCTGCATCCTGACACGGTCCAAGTGGGGTCGTCATCCTGTGTGAAGCTAAGTAGGTGGTGAAAGAAACACTTAAGCCCATCTGAGAATTTAGATCTGTTCTCTTCTTTTCTTCGAATATCTGACTTTTCTGATTGAAGAAGGACTTTTGCAGACATACACACATGACAGCTGCTTGTATTAAACACAGCTGTCATGCAAGCAGCTGCAGCTGAAGGAGATTTAGGCTAATTTAAACATTTTAAACACTGCAAACTCTGATTCATAACCAGCATGATGCAAACCCATTTAAATCTTTAAAAGCAACTCTGTTTATTTTGCCCACATTCATTAACTTTCGTAGATTGGAATATTGTTTCTGGGTTTCAACTCTAACCACATAAAAGTTTGACTTTGCTGCTTGAAAAGCAAAAAAATGCCCTAAAGTGTTTTTGGACATGGTTGTTTTTGCAGTTTTGTTTTCACAGATAAAAACCAAACAAAGAAGCAGACTTTAAACGTTATCATGAGCACGCTGGAGCCGCAGAAGGTTTCCTCTACAGATATGCTGATAGGAAACCGTGATACTCTTATAATCAGCTCTAAGTAGCCGTTTGAATTTACAGGATAAATAAACTTGAGGTGGAGCACTCACTAAATCATCCATCATTATTATAATCAGCAGTTTATGTTTTTATTTTGCTGCTAAAAAAGGCGCCAGGTGTCCTCCATGAACGATAAGGGAGGGCTGGAAACAAATGTTTCATTTGACAAGTGCGATTCGAGTCAACCGGGGACGATAAACCAAACAAACGTTCACAAAGTATTTCTGTTATGTGCTAAAAAGCCTCATTGGGCTGCAGGAGACACTGGTGGAGTCTAACCAAGAGGATGTGAGAGCAGCGGCCCGCCTCCTGCTCCTTGGTGACCAAAACCAGGTAAAAACAGAGTTTCTGTGAAGTAAAGTGAAAATAGGAGCAGAGATAATAAAGACATAGAGAGGGCCTCGGGCAGCAGGTACAAGGGCTCCTCTGGGTTAAGGTTACAGGATTTGATAAGAGATGTTCCAAGGGGAAAGAAAGAAGACCCGGTCCACTTAACTGTATGATCCCCTCTGGTACCTCCGGCATGCTGTCTGCCTCCGGCTCCATTCTGCGTGTCCACTGGAGTGTGTGTTTGTTGTGTGAGAAGCTTTGAGGTAATGAGCAGCCTGGCACAGAGGAGTGTTTGAGCTCACCTGGCCTGGTTAGCTTATATGAGGAAGTAACTGGAGCTGCAGTGATGAAAGCCTACCTGCAGCCTAGGTACAGATAGGGCGCTGTGCAGAATGGGGGGGGGGGGGGGGGGGGACTTGGATTCCTGGGTCCTGGCAAAAACCAAATACCAGTCTAATAGCTACTGCAAGGGACAGCTAGTCAGTTTTTATGTTGTAATCTTAGCTTGCTGCTCAAAATACATGGCTGGCCTAAAACTGGAGTAACAGGTTCATCAATATTCAACAAAACAAGACTTTTCTACCTGATTTAGAGCTGGTTCTACACATGTCGTAGCAATAAGATCAGAGCCAAAGAATGACAAGCCTAAACAAGATTTGTTCCTAGAGTACACACTCTAATATTTGGGTTATTTCTGTAAAGGAGTGGCCACTGTATGAAAGAAGCTGCTTTTTTATTAATTGTAGCATGTATGAGCATTTTAACCAAATATGTGCTCAGCAGGTGTAAAGGACGGTTAAGTGGTTACTGAGTTTTATTTCTTTATCATTCATACTGTTTTTTTAAATACATGCTAATAGTGATGCTGTAATGAGTTTAAAAAGTTAGCCATGAACTGGACTTGAGCGATGGACGTGGCTGCTGTAGAATCATTCATGGGTTGGTACGGGTCACTGAGCTGGTGGTTTTATTTAGTAACAACAGAGTCTAACTTTACTCAGACAACATTATACTGTAAAGGTGAAAATAGCGGTGGTGAGAAAAAGGGTCATTTGGAGTTAGACTTGCATGCACCATCCATTCATTTTCTATACACAAGGTCAGGGAACTCTGGTGCTTTAAAGGGGTTCTGGAACAACTTATTTTTAGGATTGTAAACCGTTGTTTTAACCTATTAATCTTTGTTGGGGCTCAAAATGGATCAGGAGCATTGATATTTGGCCAAACACAACCTCATGATAAAAGCCCTACAATTAAAAGACTAGTTTTCACCACCCACTCAGTCAAGACATGAATATTAATTGAGCTGCATGCTAATTGGCCAGTTTGCCCTGATGGCTCTATAGGGAGACCAATGGGCCATTCCCATCTGTACCTGGTCGGCCCTGCCCGGATAGCTCCAGTCGGCCCCAGCCTCGCCCGGTTGATTCCACACATCCTTGCTTAGGTATGCACGGAATGCAGTGAGAGACATTTTCGGCTTCTAGATAATCAGCATGATAATGAATGATAATGATTTGAGCATGCCTTAAGGCCATGTGGGCTGATTCTACCCACCAATCAGAGGCTTGCTCTAATGCGGGGGTCGGCAACCTGCGGCTCTGGAGCCGCATGCGGCTCTTCCATCCATCTGATGCGGCTCTCTGTGCTTGTAAAATAATGAATGGATATTTAAATAAAATGCTTTATATTTTACTGCATTAATTTTACATCTGTATGCCAATTCTAAATGTAAAGATTGTCTGCGTAAACCTGAACAGGTCCAACCCGGTCTTACTGTGAGACTGGGTTGACGCGTCATGCTTGTGCGCATTCTGAGCTGAAGAAGATGTGAGATTCTGGGATTCTCCTCAGACGGCTCCTGGATGTGTCGCCACATTGGAGACAGGAACAAGCACTATTCAGCCAAAGTTTCATAATCAGGGAACATTTTCTAAGTGACAAGTCTCTCTGAGAGACAGGGTTTGGGAAACGCTCGCTTCAGTCAGAGGAATCTTCCCGCATGCGCTCTAGTTCTGCGACGCGCTCCAAGCCAATCTCCACATCTTCAGCTCGCTGTGCACCTTATGTACGCGCTGACAGCGAGCTGCGCTGAGCAGTGTCTAGCTCGTTTCTTGAGTGATTTAGCTACATCTGCGATGTGCATAACGAATAAAGTGTCAGTTCGTCTGCATGCATCGGGGTAATTCTTTCTATTCTTTCTACGTCAAAATAAACGGTCAAATACGGGAACTAAACGGTCAACACAACACAAGCCCTGCTTTTATCTGTTCTGTTTTATTGTGAAAATAGATCAAATTTAACTTGATTAACACCAGAGCCAGGCGCACTGCGCCGTTATCTCCGTCGCTGTAAATGAGGGAAAAACAAAATGATCGGATCCTTTTCTGACCTTCCCCACCTACAAAGTTTAATTACAACAATCAAACGTGACATAGCCTGGATTTGTATTCTGAACAGTCTAAACATGTTTTAAAAAGAAACGTATGACAAAAGTGGCACCTGCTCAGTAAAACCACCAACAGGGTGAAAAATATCAAAATATTGTAGCAGAGACGGGCTACAACTTCTGGATCCAGTTAATATAAATTGTTTTATTGATTATCTTCTTATGAAAGACAGCTTTGATGTACACAAGCGACCGGTACTGGCTGCTGTCACCTGTTGTGAGCAGCTCTCTGATGTCTGAGGGTAGGACCCGCCCACAACGCCACGGCTGCTGTGGCTCCCAGTGTTTTCTTTACTGTGGGAAACGGGTAATAATGGCTCTTTGATGGGAACAGGTTGCCGACCCCTGCTCTAATGGAAGGTGTGAATTTTGCTGTCAGCAGTGGGTGTGTTGGCCCTGGTCAGCCTGAAGCAGACCACCTCAGAAAGAGGGCTGAAACAGTCTCGTTGCGCCCTGAAAAAAGGCAGGCCACCAAGATATGTAAGCAAGCTATGCTATCCGGGCCGACCAGGTACAGATGGGTCCTGCCACACACGAGAGCAAACTGCTGAGCAAACAGCCTCGAATGACGGTTTCCTCAGCAGATGCCTCGCTGTGTGCGAGTAATTTTCTGCCTCACAAGACGCCTAGGTAAAAATCTAACCGGTTTGATATTTTTCTCCTCACAGGGGGTAGAAACTCACCGTGTGCACACAACATGAGCTGCCGGCTGAGCCGAAATATTCTAGAGGCCAATCAAAGCGCCTGGTTTAGTTTGGTTCTTCTTAAACTTTTTTTACAATGAGCTACGATGTGTTGCTTTTAGAGATATTTTAGCCTACTTCCTCTTGTCAGTCAGAAAATATTGAAGTCATAAGCGGCAGGTCTGGGTGTGGCTTGTGAAACATAAGACCATTATTTGATGAAACAGAATCAACTTTAGACGATTAAATAAAAACACAATGCCCTTCTGAACTTCTCTGCTAGCATTGAACGGTGTCTGGTTAAATGAAGAAGAAAAGAGCAGAATGGAAAAACAATTCAGGTGCTCGGGTCACTGAACCAGCCAGTCATTCACGCAATGTTGAGCAGACACCAATATGAGAGCAAGCAATATGCAGGCGTTCAGAGCAGCAGGTATGAAAAAACCTGACCACAATCTGTCCGCTGAATGATTAGCTCATACAGCAGGGCTAGTATGGGTCTAAAGTGACTGAAATCAATACAATCCAGGAGATAAAAACACATTAATACTAACATATACTATTGAGGAAGACAATATGATGGCTAAGCCCCTCATTCTGAACCTTGTCACCAGTTTCGAGCTGATTGAATCATCCTGCCAACTTTAAGGAAGTTGTAAAACACCTGCACGTACGGTGACGTGTGAGAAATAAGGAAAAAACCAGAGGTAAGCAATTTAAATGCAGGGTTTTCCCAGCTGATAACAGAGACGTAGTCCAGGGGAATACAATTGTCCTAAGGTCAGATTTCCCAGCTGCTGTCAGGAGAAGGAAACAAGAAGGAAACTTGGCAAATGTTGGAAAACTAAGAGGAAAGAAAATGCACAATGAGTTCAGACGAGGTGTTCAGGCTTACCTCTGAAATGAGTTAGGTGGTGAGACAAAACACGTTTGAGCAGGGAGCAGGGAGGAATGCAGCGATGCAAAAACACGTCCCTAAACACACAAAGTCTTAAACTCAGCCACCCACCACAAAACATTTCCTGCCTCGCTCTGAGGAAAACTAAGCCCGGCCCTCTTCAACCGAGAAAGAAGAAGAAAAAGAGAAATCTGGTTGAATCAAAGCATTTAGAGAAAGAGTCAAATCAAACCTTGATCTGCTGCAACAGAACGCTGTGTGTTTCTCATTTATGTTTCTACTAAACAGAAATGGATTTAGGGACAAATGTGTCAAGGAAGAACAGTTTCTTTCATAATTGCACAACTTCACAAAGGTTTCAGTCTTTTTCTTCCCCCGCTGTCTGGAATCGCAGTGAGTCAGCATCAGTTCCTCCACTGTTGCTAAATGTCACCATAGCAACCAGCCCAAACAGCCACTAGTCATTAATGGGTTCTCCCTTCCTAGAGACAACTTTAAACACACCCTTAAGCATCATCTAAGGTTTAGTAAGGATGCCTTCTGCACAGCTTTACCTGTGCAGGGTCAGGGTGAAGAAAAGCTCTGATTCATCGTTTCCGCAGGTGACACGAGTGAATGTGGAGGCAGAGTGGTCTCCTCAGGAGCAACCAGATGTGCGTGTGAGCAAACAATAGGCTGATTTTACTGCTGTTAAATGCACACAAAATTCTGATTTTGTTAATATTTATGAAGAAGTGACAATGCTCCTTGGCAGTAATTCTTATATCATGGGAAAGCCTGGTTAGTCGCCTTTAGAATGAGCCATAGACTGACAGGATTGTGTATTTATGGAATGAACAACATGGCTAAATGTGTGGGTAGCGCTGCCAAAAAATGGGCCAAACTGGTTTTCAGCTTCAGGTGCTTCCAGGTGTGTTCCAGTCACAGCAGGTACACTGAAAATTGCATCATTTTGTGAACTGATATGTAAAAGCTGTGTGTTGGTTTTTAATTGAGAACGGACATGCAAACATATACTGTATTTTCTTTGTGTGGTGCAATTCAAACTCTGACTGCTAGGTGGCAGCAGATTTACCGCCTTCTTTCTGACGGAACAACGAGATGTCGCAATAGCACTGGATGTGTCTTGGAAGCATCTGGCCTGAGTTTTCCAATTGAATTTAGTCTTAAAAATAGCAAATATCATCTTGCCTTTAGCGTCACAACATATTGCACGTCTCCCCAGTATTGATGGGAATTCCGGCTCTTTTTAGAGAGCCGGTTCTTTTGGCTCAGCTCACCAAAAAGAGCCGGCTCTTTTGGCTCCCAAGTGGCTCCTCAGATT